GTATCTTTGAAGTATTTTATCACTTAAAGCTAGACTATGATAGAGCTGTTAAAAAAAACCACTAAAATAATAAAACAGTTATAGTTAATAAGCAAAAAGAAAGATATAATGGAGTCATAAAAATACAAAATAATACAAAAATAGGCTAAAAAAGAGGAAAGAGGAACCCCCCAAAATGGGACAAATAAAAAGAAAATATCAACATGATAGATTGAAACTGAACCAAATCAATAATCATGCTAAATTTGCATATTCTAAATATTTTACTTAAAAGTTAAAGGTTGGAAGTTTGGTTAAAGCTGTAAGACCCTGCAAGCTGACTATATGCCACCTACAGGAAATACATTTCAATTATGAAGCACATATAGGTTAAAAATAAAGATTGGAAAAAGATATATCGTGTAAGCACGAATCATAACAAAGCTGAAGTGACTTTATTAATATCAGAAAATATAGATTTTTAGAGCAAAATATTACCCAGGATAAAAAGTCAATTTTATATTCAAGAGCAGTTATTTTTTGTCAATAGGAAATAATATTTCTTAATAGCTATGCACCAGCAACAGACCATCAAAATATACAAAGCAAAACTTGATATGACTAAAGGAGAAATAGCAGAATTCACAATTGTAGGCAAAAATTTCAAAAAAAAAGTACCCATCTCTCAATAATGTATAGAACAAACAGAAAATCAGTACACACACACACACATATATATATATATATGTCAGTATGAATATATATATGTATATATATTGGAACAATATTATCAGCCAACTTGATCTTATTGATCTTTATAGAACATTCAACCCAACAGCAGCAGACTATACGTTAGGTCTATAGGAAACATCTACTAAAATAGACCAAATTCTGGACCATAAAACATACCTCAATAAATTTAAAAGGATTCAAATTATATAAAGTATATTATTTGACCACAAAGTAATCTTTGGAATACCTCTACATTTTGGAAAGTAAATAACACAATTTTAAATAATCTAAAGATCAATGAGGAAATAAACAGGGAAATTTGGAAGTATTTTGAACTGAATGAAGCTGAAAATACAACATAAAACAGTTGTGGGATGCTAATATAGCAGGATTTTGTAGCATATTAACAGCACCAACAGTCTTTATTAGACAAGAAGAAAAATTTCAAAGAAAGGTCTTCCACTTTATTAAACTAGAAAAAGAAAAGATAAGAACCAAGCCAGGCAGATGAAAGCTACTTCTGAGTTTCTAACTACATCTCCTAGGAGGATCCTTTTTTCCTCTTTGCTCATATGGGTGAAAGCATTAAGAACCAATTCTGTGATTCAGGCTAGATCAAAACTTGCAAGACTAAGATGGTATTTTAAGACTTAAAGAGAAGAATTTCTACAGCTTGAAGTATGAGTATATGTTTGTTTGTTATCAGAAACTAATTAAACCACATTATCTATTTTTCCTTCTAGTAATTGTATTAGAAATCTCACTGTTAGTTGGTTACATGACAATAGAGAAGAAACTACATTTCTCAGTTTCTTTGGCAGCTAGCTATAGGAATGTGACTTAAGTTCTGGTCAATTGTATCTATTAACTTTTGTGTATTTACTTTAGGATTCTGATTGGGTTCAGCACTGGTCTTGGCTTGTCCAATCTCCTCTGTGCTTTCTTATTTGTCTCTGGTTAGCTAGCCCTGATCAAGTGGCAGTTAGATGACTTAGCAAGTCCTCACTCATGTATCTGGTGGTTGGCAAGCAGGCTGTTCACTGGAGTGATGGAATCAACTATTATCTGGGTCACCTTAGTTCCTTTCCACATGTCTTCTACTCTTCCAGTAGAATTGCATGAGCATATAACAGGTGATCTTGGAATTTCAAGCCCAGCAAAAGAGAATAAACTCCTAATCTGCAAGCGTTTTCAAGCTTCTGCTTGCATCATAATTGCTCATATTTTGCCAAAGACAATCAATAGGCCAACCTAGAATTAGTAAGGAAGGATTCTACCAAAGATCATAGAAACAGGAAAGTGTTGTTTCTGACCCTTTAGAAGTATATTTTTAAAGAGAGGGGGAAAGCCCTTCTTTTTTTCTACATCTTGGTAGACAGAAATTGTTCTTAGACTATCAGTAGATTTATATTTTCTCACATTAAAAAAGAAGAATCTACACCTAAGTTGTACAGAAGTAAACTTGTTATTTTCAGTGAATTTGGAGAAACTGAGTAAAGCTAATATATTTTAAAATGATAATGCCTCATATATTATATTTTTAAACTACACTTTAAGATATAGCCAATATAGGGAAATTATGATCTATTTATGTTACACAGACTTTTGGGTTAATGAAGTGAGAGTAAAATCGTGATCTCATTAATTTGTGCCAGACTTGTTCATATGGAGAGAACTATTTTTATTGACAAATATGCCTTAATAAGGCTTAGGTGTTGGCAGAAATCGAGGCAATAATAGACACTTTGGAGATGTTCTGTGGGAAAAGGTGACTGAAAGTCCAGTGTAAAATCAAGAGTAGATATGCTTTAGGGCAGAGCAAGGAGGACAGAGGGAGAAGTTACAGAGATAGTAGGTAATTGGAGTATAAAAGCTTATGAAAATCTCTGGTTATAGGAAAACTAAAGGGTTATTATTAATTTCAAAGTAAAGCTTTCACTCCTCTTTTGCCCCAAATCTTTAGTAAAGTTTATCTAGGACTTTTTTTTTTTCTGAACAAGAGTTCCTCATCTTGAAATTTAGGCATTAACTGAGTTTCATCTTTGGGTAATACAGAGCAGTGCTCTCAGGAAGCAAGAAGCCTTCGAAATGGAAGAAGCAGAAATTTAGATTCAAGATGACTATGAGATGATCAGTAAATACAAAATTCTTATAAACTTAAGGAATTCTTTTGTTGTTCAACAGTAATGGAATTAGGGTTACCAGCATTCTTATCTAGATTTCAAAAGGCAAGGAAGCTCTGGTTGATACATGCAATATATTTAAATAAGAATATAACAAAATATAGAAAACATAAAGTTTTGACACTTTTATTTCTCTTTATCTTTTTCACACTTTCTTGCTTTTGATCTTTAAAAAAAGTACTCTTTTCATGTGGGGAATGTATAAGATTATTCTTGAGAGAAAAATAATGCATGCTCAATCCCATAAAGTGTTTGCTTTCTATTTGGAGAACAGGACTGATACATGTGAAGTACCAGAAACAAGTCTGGCCCAAATTATTGTGTGATGAACTTGAAGTGTGATAAGCATGTAATCATAGGTCTATTGGATTTTCATGGCTATATGTAACTTCCCCTCCAATAAAAACAGTTTATTTTTATAGGCCAAATCAAATCCTTGTCTTGAGTAATGATCTAGTTTCCTTGGGGCTAGCTGAGGGTGGAAGTGAGAAACAACCAGGCGCAAAGAGGCAATTCATAGTTCTTACTCACCTTTCTAAGCCTACATGTCTTTGATATTGGGGTTCATTATTATCTATAACTATATCTGGTGTGTGTGTAACATGTTATTTTTCAGAGCCTTAGGTATTTCATATCAATTGTCTTACTTTATTCTTAAGTAAAGATTCCAGTGAGTCCCTATGTCTCAGATGAAGAAAAAGAGACAGTGATAGATTTTTAAAATTTCTTCAATTTGAAAGCTCTTCACTATATTTCTATAACTGAATCCCAACCTAGTGGTATTTTTATAAATCCTTGAAATTAAATGGAAATCAAACCATGTCTTTTCACATGTAGGTTACTTCTCTCTATGATAACTCTGCCTCTAAAGGTGAACTGATTCAGTCCAAGTGAAAGGAAGGAAGTTAAGGGGAGAAATGTCAGTGACTATAAAAGAGATTTGATGTCTGTATCCACATCTTTGTGGTAAAGTCCTGAATTATCATCAAATTTCTCATATTTATTTCACACTTATGTATATTTATATATATTTGCACACATAATATACACACCCATATAATTTCAAGGATTTATAAAAATACCACGAGGTTGGGATTCAGTTACAGAAATATAGTGAAGGGCTTTCAAATTGAAGAAATTTTAAAAATCTATCACTGCCTCTTTGTCTTTATCTGAGACATAGGGACTCACTGGAATCTTTACTTAAGAATAAAGTAAGACAATTGATATGAAAATACCTAAGACTCTGAAAAATAACATGTTACACACACACACACACACACACACACACACACACACACACACACACACACACACCCTTATGAAGAGTTTAGTTCTTGTCTTTATTTAAGCAACATGGTGTAATCTATGTATATAGTAGATAAAAATTCTGTATTTTATGTATTTTCTTTCTTCTCAAACGGGCAGCTTGAAGAGAAAAAATACTCAGAATTTCGGCTGTTATTTTGCTTGAAAATAAGTAATTTTCTTGCATTTTAAAACCACTATATAAATCAGCTAGATATACTTAATGTAGTGAAATGAATCATAAGTATGCTGGAATAGTTTTCAAAGGGGAGTTGTGTAAAAAATATTAGAATAAGTATCAGTGGGCATAAAGAGACGGCATTAACAGAACTTTAAACATTGTTAAAACGTTGATGGGATGATATTATTATACAAAAATTCTTCCTTAATTAAACATCTAGCATATATAAAATAAGTTTGGATCAACAAGACAGTAAATGAGAGGAACAAAACAGAGAGCTGGCATCATAAAAACTAGATTAACTGCTGGCTCTTTGCTATTTTCAGCATCTACATGTCTATATTTTGATTTCTTTATATGGCTCTTAATGGTTAACTCTCCATTCCCCTTTTAGTCATATGCTGCTAACTTCTATGGGTTTTATTTTCATTTGGTTCTATATATTTACCCTGCTGAAGCCTCCCATGTTCTGTGTCAGAAGGAAAAATATCTTATTACCTTCTTATCTGTTGGACGTTTAAAGTTTTTTCTCCCTCCCTCCCTGTCTTGTACCTAATGAGCAAATTATCTAAAAATAGATACGTTCATCATTCTACAAAATGTTGTATCTTCTCTAGATTGGAGGCCAGTGTAATTGTAAGAGACATGTGTCTGGCAGACAGTGCAATCAGTGCCAGAATGGATTCTACAATCTACAAGAGTTGGATCCTGAAGGCTGCAGTCCCTGTAACTGCAATACCTCTGGGACAGTGGATGGAGATATTACCTGTCACCAAAATTCAGGCCAGTGCAAGTGCAAAGCAAACGTTATTGGTATGTGTAATGCAAAAGTTTACAGTCACATCTCTATTACCATCTGGAATAAAATTCTCTATGTGATTTCTTAACTGAAGAATAAAGCAAATTTCCTTGCTCAAGGCAGGCTGGAAAAAAAAACAATTTAGATGAAATTAACTGTCTAAAAATGATTAAATTAATAATTCTATCAAACTACAGCTTGAAGCTTAGTTTAATCAACCCCTTAGAAGTTTCTTTATTCTGTAGATGTATTAGTTCACATGGTCCCATACTAATAAGTCATAGAAAAATATAATTTGCTTACTGCATAGATGTTTCTTTTAGAAAATTAGCACTTTTTCAAAATGTTTTACCCTTAATGAGTTCTAAGCAAATCATTTCCATGCTAGTTTTCTTAATAGACCAAAATAAATGGATTTTTTTTCAAAATATTCTGTGCTACAGGGTCCTTTGTGATAAATCTTTCCATTTTTTTCTATTATATTTCTTTGAACTGTTCCTATGAAATGCAAAATAAGTCAACATAATTCCACAGATCATGTATATTGCTAGGGTTAGTTATAAAGGGCCATATAATTTTAATTTTGTAATTCAGCACCAAGCTGATTATAATAAACAGCTACCTTCAGTGTTATTTATCATTTTTTTATACGAGACATGCTTTTTTGTTTGTTACTCCCACAGGTATTTTTCAGAAATTAGATTTGATTATAGCAATTTATTACATTCAACATTTTTGAGGGGAACCACCGCCACATAAGGACAAAATTTATCAAGTGCCCAAAATGCACTATGTACATAATGCACTTTGAAATTTTGATATATGAGAATATTATGAGAGGAAAGTTTCCTGATGAAGTGAGTCCTGTATTGTAACTGAACATGTCTTGGTTCATATATGAAGTTTAAAAAAGACCTTTGACTTTCTATTGTCATTCAAGACACCAAGTCATCTATGGTTTTTCTAACACTGACCTGAACCTTACAACAATAAAAATATTCCTGGCAGTGATTATACACACACACACACACACACACACACACACGAGCTCGCGCACATAAATGCACACATATACACATACACGTGAACATATTCTGAACACTATCTTCAGTTGTGATATAACTCTAATTCTTTATCATTTATATATGTGCAATTGCTTATATTACACAATTCAGCTAGACAAACCTTTTAATTTAATACAAAAGAGTGCGGAAGTTCTTATAGTATTATTTTCTCTGGTTTAAAGAAAAATTACATCAAAATCTATAACATAACTTGCCTTTCTGCATCTCAAGCATACAAAAACTATTTTTTTAGAAAGAATAGCTAGTAAAGAGAAGCACATCTTTGTATGTGTTATCTGTGATGCTGAATGAGTTCTAAGACCTTTGAATTCAATCTATACAGCATCCTTTGTTCTTTAATGTGAGAAAGATTTTAAATTAGAGATGTGAAAACAAAAGTTAAAGCAAGGCCTTTAAAGACAGTGAAATAATTACTTCTCTATATCAATGGAATCTTTCCTGTGATGACTAGTTTCCAAAGTTTGAGAAAGGAAAAAGTAAAAATTTACTTAAAATTTCTTATGATCTCTTTGCCATTTACCTGCTTTATTCATTGATTCAGATAGTTTCTGCAGGAAAATATAAATATATATTTTGTGAAGACTAAGTTGTTTTAGTATTATTATAAATTATTATTCCTAGAGATATTTATGCAAATGTAGTACTTTTTATAAAAATATAAACTTGATATGTATATATTTACTTTTCTAATGTGATTAGCAAGTCACTATATTCAATTTCTCCTTGTTATTATGAGAAAAAGAAAGCTAGAAAATACAAGTGTATATTGTATATGCTTCAGAAAGCAAACTGTTAGAGTTAACAAAACTGTTAAATCTTACTAATGATTCTATCACCAGTAAAATACATTAGCACCAATAATTTTATTAAAGTAGGTCATTCATCTAGAATAAAAAGGGAGAAGAATGTGAATTAAATGCCAAGTGTGCTAACTCGCCTGTACTTGTTAACACCGAATGTGATGCCCTGTAGGCCTTCCTGAGTATCGTTAGGAATAGATTACCTGTCAGGAATATGTATGGCATATTCAAATAAGCACTGCGCATATTTTTAAAACTGATATGATATGAATCCATGTAGACCAATTTTAATAGTTCAAAATGAGTCATAATTCTTGTTAACAATACAGTTATTTTTAAAATTTGCAGCAATAGTGGTCCTTTTTTATTTTCCTTATTGAAATTAAATGATATGCCTTAGGTGAGTCATTCATCACTGTTAAAGAACTCGCCTTCCATTGGAGTTCTTGAATTTTTATCCATATATATATATATTTATATATATATATGGATACACACACACACACACACACACACACACACACACACATATTATGCATTTCTTTCTAGTTTAGGAAGTGCTTTTTTACATGTGAATTCCTGAATGTATTTTTGACTCTTATTTTAGGACTAATTTTTAAATTGCTGTTATAGATTGAGATAAATGTTTGCATTGATTCAGCCTCACATAGTCAGTTATTAAAATTCATGGATGTGTAAAGATTATCTAAAGGAAGTATTTTGCATCTAAACATTTACTATCCCATTTAAAAAATTTTTTTCCTTGCCATACCCTTTTTGAAACTAACCTAAGTTGTCAGAGGTTTATGTTTAGGTGATAAAACATTTTTCTTCATTTGCAAAATGTATGTGTGTACTCCTTTAAATAGAAGTAATAGAAAAAATAGAATTTACTTAGTGTTTAAAGAGGTATGTTCTGAATCACACAATATGACAAGCAATGTGATTGCTTTATGAGCCAAAGAGAGCATAATTTATATTAATTGAAAATGATAAAATATAGGAGCATACAAAAGGATTAAAATAAAAATTGCTCTGGATAAGTTTTATTTATATTAATTATCTAAATTTATGATATTCAGAAATAAATGTGTATGCTGTTGTCACAAAAATAGTTATCACCTAATATTTTTTTTTCTTTTCCCAGCTTTACTAAAATATAATTAAATACAGATTGTATGCATTTATGATATACAAAATGTTTTGATATATGTATACATTATAAAACAATTAATTCCAGATAATTAACTTATCCATCACCTCACATACTTATTATGTTTTTGTGGTGAGAACATTTAAGATTTAATCTCTTAGCAATTTTCAAGTATACAATACACTATTATTAACTGTAGTTGCCATGCTGTACACTGGATCTATAGAGTTTATTCATCTTGTCTAACTGAAGATTTGTACCCAGTTTAATTTTATTAAATATTTTTTAGAAAGTTTTTATTTCTAGGATAACAACTAATAGGGTATATGTAACTTTACTAAACTTTTAAATGAATGTATTTGTTAAAAATAGTTTTAATATTTGTTAAAGAAAAAAAGACTCCAGTAGATGTAACAGGAGTAACATTTGCATAAGCTTTTTCTTTGCATGAAGTAATTAATAATTAAAATTTTATAGAATCACATTGCAAATAAAGTTGTGTATGAGAGCTAAGTTAAGCACTGCTATTGTGTTTTAAGTATACAACTGGCCCTCTATGATCTTGCTTGTGAGAAAATGCTCAATATTTTGTGCCTGTATTAAATGTCTGCAGCAGCATTGTTTGTGCTTCAGCTAAATTGAATGGAATCATTTCACCACCCTCACCTTTTAAACTTATTTTATCTTTAGGGCTTAGGTGTGATCATTGCAATTTTGGATTTAAATTTCTCCAAAGTTTTAATGATGATGGATGTGAGCCCTGCCAGTGTAACCTCCACGGCTCAGTGAACAAATTCTGCAATCCTCTTTCTGGGCAGTGTGAGTGCAAAAAGGAAGCCAAAGGACTTCAGTGTGACACCTGCAGAGAAAACTTCTACGGATTAGACATCACCAGTTGTAAAGCCTGTGACTGCGATCCAACTGGATCCCTCCCTGGAACTGTCTGTAATGCTAAGACAGGACAGTGCATCTGCAAGTCCAGAGTTGGAGGGAAACAGTGCAATGAATGCTTGGAGGGAAACTTTTACTTACAGCAAAACAGTTCTTTCCTCTGTTTGCCTTGTAACTGTGATAAGACTGGGACAATAAATGGCTCTCTGCTGTGTGACAAATCAACAGGACAGTGTCCTTGCAAATTAGGGGTAACGAGTCTTCACTGTAATCAGTGTGAGCCTCACAGGTACAATTTGACCATTGACAATTTTCAAGGCTGCCAGATGTGTGAGTGTGATTCCTCCGGGACATTACCTGGGACCATTTGTGACCCAATCAGTGGCCAGTGCCTATGTTTACCTAATCGTCAAGGAAGGAGGTGTAATCAGTGTCAATCAGGTAAGAGAAGTATGTTACATTTTCAGTGCATAATGACTTCCTTTCTGTTATCCCAAAACAGGTGATTTCTCCCTGTTTCAAGCGTCTAAAAAATGTATCTCCAAAAACATTGTTGTATTTATATTATTATCTAACACAGATGTAACTATTTATTTATTCAAAATTATCTGGTGTATTTATGTTAATACTTTTTTAGGGGGGATACTTTAGGTGAACTGTAGCCTATCCAGCTCATTTTATAGTTGAGACTTAATTTATTCATTTAAAGTAATTCCCCTTTTAACAATTGAAAAATATTGGTGAAGAAGAGTAAATTTTATTTTCCAGAGAAAGGAAAATTCAAATTGATTATACAATGCCAAATATTAAGATGCTGAACTTAGTTTCTGAATAAAACTGACCAATTTTTTTTACTGCAGTGGTTATATATTCTAGCTTTATATAGAAACATCTAGAATTATTTTTAGATACCATAAATTAATAAAATGGGATACTGTTTAATCTCACTGTACACAAAACTATCTTTTCATCTGATTCCAACTGGAGGAAAGATAGACCCTATCCATGACTCTCTTATTGACTTTATATGATTTAACTAAAATAACATACTCTATAATACATTCATCATGATATCATAATGAATATTGATCAGCTGTATAATTTGTGTCCTGTCAACCAAGATCAGCTCTGAATTATCTGAATCTGTGAAAATAAGCATGATAAAACTTTTAAAGGAAGATTTGCTTGCCAGGGATGGGGTAGGACAAAAGTTCAGCTCTATATGGCAAAGAATTCAACTTCAGAGAATTGGGCCAAACCCTTCCTTTGGCATTGGTCAATGTGACAAATGAGATCAAAGAGATTGTGAAAAATTGATAAATATTTAATTCTTTTTGAGGTATAAGTATTAGAAAACAGCAAGGACAAGTGTAAACATAAAACTATATTATGAAGTCCATATTATAACTGGATGTTTCACAAATCCTAAGGTTAAGGACTAGTATAACCAGGATTCAGGAATTAGAATGCTTCCATGGATACATATTCATTCATACTCTCTCTCTCTCTGTCTCTCTCTGTCTCTCTCTCTGTCCCTCTCTCTCTCTCTCTCTCTCTCTCTCTCTTTCCCTCTCTCTCCCTCCCTCCTCCCTCCCTCCCTCTATCTCTCTCTCTCTTTCTCTCTTTCTCTCTCTGTCTCGCTATGGAGAAGGGCACTCTCTACTTCTCTCTTGCTCTCTGCATGGTTATACAGCCACTCCATGCCTCTGTAATTCTACTACTAGCTACAATAGACTTATTAGCTGCCTCTTCATTATAATTACAAGAGGGAAATTCTAATTGACTCAGTCTTGTTTAGGTGGCTACTTCTGAGACAACTCACTGTGGCCAGGGGTATCAGGGTCACATAAAATGAGCATGCCTTTGGGGCCCACTCTATCAAGTAAGAGCAAGGTGGGAAGTATCCCAGAAAACAGGAAGATTATTGAGAGCTGGGCAGACAGTCTAAGTGGCAGCTACAGCACATTGTGCTTTTTCAGCTTCAGATTAATACTTCCAAATTTGCAATCAATTAATTTTTGGTATCCTAAGATGATATTTACTTTATTTTACTGTTTATTAATAGCTCTAATTTTGGAAACAAAGTACTCAGTCTCCTGCACAAATAACCATGATTTACATAACCTTCTAAGCAAACCAGTAAAAGCTAATAGATCAAACATTACTTCCTTTTGAGTAATTATCAATTGTTAAAATTTATTGAGGGTTTCATTCTGACTTTAATTGTATATATAATAAAAGTCCTATACTTTAAACAATTTTTCTAATTTTATATAAAACTCTAAAATCACCATAACAAAACTTCTGCTCCCTTTAAGTTCTTTCAATGGAAGATTCAGCCCAGCCGGGCTCAGTGGCTCAGCCTGTAATCCCGCATTTTGGGAGGCTGAGGCGAGTGGATTGCCTGAACCTGCAGGTTAGAGACCTGACTGGGCAACTTGGCGAGCCCTCATCTCTACAATAAATCAAAAAATCAGCCGGGCGTGGTAGCACATGCCTGTAATTCCGGCTACTCAGAAGGCTGAGGTGGAAGGATCACCGGAGCCCAGCAGGTCGAGGCTGCGGTGGCCAGGAGTGGCCACTGCACTCCAGTTTGGGCGACAGAGTGAGACTCCAACAAAAAAAAAAAAGAAAGGAAAGATTCAGTCCATGATATAGGTATTTGTACACCAACCATATATCTACATGATGGACTGAAATTATTAATAAACCAGTGTTTTTCTGGGTTTTGTGTGCTATATAGAAATAGCCATAGATAATTTAATCAAATGTCAGCAAACTGAAGACACAGGCTTTTCCCTATCTACATCATGCATAAGCCTAACATATGCCCTTCCTGTGATAAAGAAATATTACTTTTTTGTTCTTTCTTTTTCTTTATGGTTCTTACTGTGCTGATCTGTTTTTCTCAACCTTAGGCCCTTTCTCCCAATCTAGCTGTGCCCCTTTCTTTTCTATCCTATGTATGTTGGCAGAATAATTCTCTTAAAACTTGTCTTTGGTTATGTCAGTCCCAAACAGGGCAACCTACACTGGGTTTTATTTTGCTTATCATTTGAGTCCAATCTGGGTAGATCTTCTTGAGTTTTTATCTTCTGATTCCAGTCTATGCATCCACCTTTGTTTTCTGCTAGTCCCTGACTCACCCATCTTCTTGAGTTACTGTAGCTATGTCACTTGTACTACACATGTCACATGCAGAGCTGATTTCTACCTGCCCAGTGCTTTGGTTCACTTTCCTTTCCTAACATGGAATGCTATATAGCCATCCTTTTTGATGTTAGTAGGTATCCTCTGATTAGTTTTTTTCTATTCAAAATATTGCCTGTTATTCTCCATCACTCACTCAGTGAACAACAAATTCAACATGAATCATCAGCGTTTTAAGAGGTGGCTTAATTCAAATCTATAGAAAACTTGAAAATAATGCATTTTTGAAAATATGCTAAGACTTATATTTTATTTGTGTGATATTTATTATTTGACTTTGAAGAAATATCTCATTGTAAATACTCCATAATTATACTTCTTTTTTATGATGACCATATGAACGTATAGATGAAGTTTATAAACTAAGATTAGGGAGAATTAAAATGGTAAAAATATTTGTGTTCACTGAAAAAATTCAACACTGTGTATTGAAATATTTAGTGGAAAATGTATCAGACTAAGAGTCAAAAGACATATTTTGGTGTTCCATCTCTTCTACCTAGCTGATTCCCTAAAGGCATTTTCCTTCCCTTTTCAACATGTGACTTTCATATTTGTTTCCAACTGTTCACATCCAGTCAATGGTAAGCAGCTTTATCTTTAAGATAGTACCTGAATGGTGCCTGTATCAGATCTACTCACATCCTACCGGTAAACACTCCTTTGCATGTCCACACCTCCCTCTAAGAGAGGCTGGCAAATAGATTGTCTATCTGAATATCTGTTTTTGTATTTAAAACTTGGGGCTTCTGTTACTATAAGGAGTAAGAAGAAAATTGATATTTGAAGACATCTAGCAGTCTTGGTTGCACTAAGAATTCCCTACACTTATAAAATTGGTTGGCAGAACTCTAGTCAATTTCTGAATAGAGCTTCTGACGACAGTGAGTTTGGTACTTTTTGGATAGTTCTAGTTATTGGCAAATTTTTAAAAATTAATCAAAGATCAAAAATGCCTCGAGTCCTAAGGAGATATATAAGTAAGATTTCTTCTTTCTTCAACTGTTTCTTACATGTCTTGATTTATAGACTCACTGATACTATAGTCATTCTCCTTAAGACAAGCTATAGTTTATCAGTAGTCCTAAGAGAATTGGCCTAGAATTATCCTTTTAAAAAGCTAGAATGATCAAAGTATGGATTGAGAATATAGTTGGATAGTACAGTTATTTTCATACAAATAAATACTTCTCACTGAGGAATCTTTTTCTTGTGGGCACTGTTGATTTCTTAATCTAATCAAAGGGCAGATTATGTGTAGCAGTGAACGCTGCTTTCATTGAGCTTAAATTCTTAAAATAATTCACGAATAAATATGTAATACAAATTTAGGTAATGATAATATTTGGATCCTTGACTCTCCTCAGTTATGTTTCTTTGTTTTTAAGAATTTAAGATATTATTGTTATTACCACATAGTCTTAATTCCCTAACCTTACATCAATGTCTATAATGATTCTGAATGCTTAAAAATTCCAGAAATATAAAGTGAATAGCCAAGTTTATATTGTACACAGTAAAGACATATTGATTTTTTATTGGAATGAAAGCAGGAAGTGTTCTAAAAGGAGAATAGTAAAATGAAATTTTTCTTTTGTGTTTTTTTTCTCATTGATGATTATGAGTGCCTGATTTAAAAAGCAGTTGAATGAGATGCCCTTGTGGAAACTCTGGATTATTTATCAGTGTCTTTAATTAAGTAACCCCCTTACTGAGTGCCCACAATGTACAAGGAGTTATATTATTATTGTGGCAATGCAAGTTGAATAAGATTATCCTTCTCCTCAAGATAATGAAACTCTAAAGGGAAATAAGACAACTGCACAAGTAAATAAAATATGAGAGTACTTTTACTATGATTATTTTCCATATTAGTACCGATGCTCATTCTGTATCTTCCTCTAAAGGAAGAAGATAATATTTTATAAACCTTTGTGAAAGGGTTTTGTGACATCTGTGCTTAGGTAAATAGCAACTAAAAAATTATTCTCCTAAGAAAATAACAAAACCATACCAGATATACCCTGAAATGAAAGGAGGCAGAAGGGAAGAGAGGAGACCAGGAGGGGAAGTGTGTGAAGAAAAAGACTTGGTATAATTTTACAGTACTTTTTTTTTAACTTAATTTATAGTTAATTAAAGTTTTCATGTGCATAATTTTAAAAATAAAATAAAATGTAAAGGCCTTATGCCCAACTTTTCTCTCAGGAATCTCCCTGATCAGAGCAACC